GCGCCCCCCCCCCCCCTCCCCTTCCCCCTTCCTCCAGAATGAGTCATGGCTGAGCTGGGTCATCTATAGCTTCGCGCTCGTAGGCCCCAGGTATCTTCGTCGCTCCAACTTCTTCAGCTCAGCCCTCCGGATCTTGCCACTGATGGTCTTTGGCAAGAAGGCCGCGGGGACAAACTCCATCTTGCGCGGGTACTTGTACGGGGCGGCGTTCCTCTTGCAAAACTCCTGGAGTTCCTCACGCAGTGCCCGCGCCTTGCTCGGCGAGTGGGCGATCTCCCCGGCGGCCGCGTCGGTGAGCACGACAAAGGCCTTGACGACCTCGTCGCGTTCCGGGTCCGGCGAGGCCACGGCCGCGGACTCGACGACGGCGGGGTGCAGCTTGAGCGTCGATTCGACTTCGAATGGTCCTGTGCCGTTTGCGAAAAAGTCAGAATGGGAGCTCCCAATCTACATAAAAAACATACAAAAACTCGGGGAAAAGTTCCCCAGGGTTGCTGGGTACATAAACGAATGAATGACGACAGGGTACAGGATGCAAAAATGTAGCAGTGTAGCATTAGCGGCAGTGATCGTAGTGACACGTACCAATTCGATATCCGGCCGAGTTGATCACGTCGTCGCCGCGGCCCACGAACCAGAAGTATCCGTCGTCGTCGCGCGTGGCACGGTCGCCGCACAGGTAGAATCGCTTGCCGTTCGCAAACGTCTTCAGCCGCCGGTCGAGCGCACCGGTCTCCATGTCGATGTAGCCCTTGAAGATGCCGAAAAACCCCCCACTGTGCGAATCCACCTGGACGGCCATGTCGCCTTCGACGCCGGCGGCATCGACCTCTTCGCCGTGCGGGTCGATCAGTTTCAGCGGCACGCCCGGCAGGGGTTTCCCCATACTGCCAGACCGGACGGGATTGACGGCCTGGTTGGCGCAGAGGACGATGGTCTCGGTCTGGCCGAACCCGTCGTAGATGGTCATACCGAGGACCTCCCGCCATTTCTCTATCACGTGGGCATTGAGCGGCTCCCCCGCGCCCGTCGCGTGTCTCAACGTTTTCCTCAACCGCTCGAGCAGGGGACGGTGCTCGTCCAGAATGAGTTTCCGATACACGGTGGGCGGCGCACACAGGGTCGTGATGGGGTACTGGTCCAGCACCCTCAGCGTCCGGACCGGGTCAAAGGCCTCGCGGTCGTCGTGGACGAACAACGTCGCCCCCAGGTTCCAGGCCGAGAAGAACGAGTAGGCCGCCTTGGCCCAGCCTTGTTCCGAGAGATTCCAGTACGTGCACGACGTGTCGAGCTCTAGCCAGTGGGCTCCCGTGAGGGCGTGGGCGAGCGGGTACGAGATGTGGCTGTGGAGCACCATCTTGGGCGGTCCCGTCGTGCCCGACGTGAAGTAGATCATTGCCGGAGACGTGGGCTGTAGCGATTGAGGAACGGCGAAGTGTGTCGTCTCGGGGATCTCGGACAGCGCGTTCGTGAGAAGGACGACATTGTCGTCACTGACCGGTGGGACTCGTCCGATTTGGAAAATCGTCTTCAGTCGCGGGCAGTTCTTCCGGACCGCCAGAGCTTTTGCCACGGAAACCTCGTCCCCGATGAAGGCGGTCGCATGGCTCGCCTGGATGCGGTACTCGATGTCCTTGTCCACCAGCAGCGTCGTGCAGGGGCACACGATGACGCCCGACCGCAGACACGCCGTCACAATCTCCCACCAGACGGGGAGTCGTGGTGTGATCAAGACACACACGTCGCCTGCCCGGATCCCCAGCGAATCAAACAGCAAGGCAATCCGGTGCGACTGCCGCGCGAAGTGGCGGTACGTGAACTTTTTCTCGACGCTGAGATCTTGGTTGACCCAGTGCAGGGCGTTTTGCGACGGCGCCACGCGCGCCCAGTGGTCGACAATGTGTGTCGCGAAGTTGAATGATTGGGGTTGCGTGGAAGGATCCACGGGGCACGATGGCGATAGCGATGGCTGGGTCATTGCAGAGAAGTAAGCACTCTTTGCTTGATGAGTTTGGGAACGGGAAGAAGCTGGCAAAGTCGGTGCCTGGCAGTCTGGGAGAATACGTCGCTATTAGAGTCGTAGAACCCAAACACACAGCCACAGCACTTACTTCAATGGCATGCCAGGCCAGAGCCCTTACACATGTTCTTTTCTCCTTTTCAAGTGCGGTTTCGGCGGTCCCTCCTGGGGGCTCTCCCGTCAATAGTCAGGCCATGTCTCCCTACCCCTCAAGGGAAAACCTCAGGCCACAGGCCATGATGGCGTGAAGCTCCTCTCCCCAAAGTAAAGTGTTTGGTATTGTACAAAGTAAAGTTCCAAGACCGTCCCCATGTGGGGTCCCTGTATCCACTTGTTTGTAGCAGATCGGGATGTTATTGGGCAATCGTCCGCACTGGGGACGGCCTTCACGCGGCTCTCGAGGCCATGCCCCCCCCCCCCCCCGGCTCCTGTCTGGAGACATGAGAGACGAGATCTCCACGCTCCGCAAATCACGCTGTACGAGGCACGAGTACTTGCTGTGTATAGCGAAGCTGTCGGTCAAACCATTCGTGGAGACGCTCCAGAATTGCGGGGAGACCACATCCTACACCCGGCACTATCGAGCGAATGAGTACCCTCCCGACTTGAGAACGAGAACTCTAACCCTGCGGTATCATTCATAGTGTGTGTACGCGGGTCCAAAACATGAAGTTGCACTTGCACGGCTGTGGGACAAAGTCACGTAGGAGACGGCATATTCGCACGGGAATCAAGGGCTCGGCGTTGGTCGAATATAAGATCAGGGGGGGGGGAGGCCTGGCAACCCGGTGAGCTACAGTATCCTCCTCAACCACTCCCACATATCTCTCTCTCTCTCTGTGTGTGTGACTTCTCGAGTCGAAGACTGACTTATTTCCCTCCCCCGTTCCACGTTGCGGTCGTACAGTAGCAGTGAATACTCTCGAATCATTTGCCCAGTTGCAACAACACCATGGACGCCAAAGAAATCAACCCCAGCCCTGTCCCCCTGGGCCGGACAGACACGATCCAAAGCATCAACCTCAGCATGGAGATGTTTGAGAAGCTCTACCTCTCCCCCCAGAATAGGGTCAAGGGCGACCTCCGCAAGACGTTTGCCAACCCGACTCCATTGTGAGGAAAAAAACACCCTTCTTGCATATCCCCATTAGTTCCCTCGCTGACCTAAGTCTACCTATATCTAGGCCTCTTCTCGGCTTCCTCGTCGCGTCCTTTCCCCTGGCGTGTGCGTTGATGGGCTGGCGTGGCGCTGGCGGCGGCGGCGCTGCCTCCATCGGAGCGTCCTACTTCTTTGGAGGCTTGCTCCAGCTCATAGGCAGCTTCCTCGAGTGGATCCTGGGGAACACCTTTCCCTTTGTGGTCTTTGGCTCCTTTGGTAATAAGTCCCAGTAATATCATATCCCCGGAGATTATTCGCGGTCTCTTCTGACAATAACCATCGTCCTACCGTAGGTGCTTTCTGGCTCGCTTTCGGCGCCACATTGACACCGTACTTCAATGCCGAGGGCGCATTCACCGCCGGTGCCACGACTGCGGCAGAAAAGGCAGCGGGAGCGGCGTCCTTTGAATCGAGCTTGGGTGAGTCTGTTCCTCTCGCATACATATATGCCCGGTCGGTCCAGCGAAAACTAATGTGGTCCAGCCTTCTTCCTCCTCGCCATCGGCATCCTGGTCTTTCTGTACCTGATCTGCTCCCTCCGGACCAACGTGGCCTTTTTCCTCATTTTCTTCCTGCTGGATCTCGCCCTCTTCCTCCTCACGGGGGCTTACTGGAGAGCCGCGGCCGGCGATGGCCAGGGCTTTGAAAATCTCGCAAAGGTACGTCCGTCGTCAGACTTTTTTCCACACAAAGACAAAAGACCACACGTTGGGGATTCGCTTGATTCGCCAAAAACAAAACACAAAGGCTGACAAAAAGGTGGGCGCGAAATTTTCCAGGCTTCAGGCGCGTGCGTGTTTGCCATGTGCATCGTGGGCTTCTACCTCCTCTTTGCCCAACTCTTGGAGGCGGTGCAGTTCCCCCTTCACCTGCCCGTCGGGGACTTGAGCCACCTCGTCCGTGCCAGGGCGCCAAAGTCTGCAGCCACGGATGTAGAGAAGGGCGAGTAAGTGACAGGGCGTCAGTTCCCATGCATGTGACGTTGAGGCAGGGCTTCAAGAAATGGCCTGTCAACCTCCCCGAGAGGCAGAGGCATATTGGCACGTTGGGAGGATGGAGATGGATCACCCGTGTGAATCATACAACGCTGGAGTCAGGCCGCGCTTTCTTCGATCGATCAAGAAAGATGTTCAGATTTGCGCCCCCCAACACAAGAGACTGCGGGTATGGTCAGGGAGGGATGTGAATGGGCCTTCTTCCTCGGAATATCATTACACTTGTGTGAAAAGACGACAAGTCGTGTAGATTGGATTTTGGGCTCCTCCAAATGCACAGGAGATACATAACATTGAATTGCCACAACTCAGCCCTTGGGACACGCTATGTGCAAATTGCCGACGGGGCCGGGATAGACTGGGTCCAGCTCCAAGGTGTAGTGAAATGATTAGAGTTTCTTCGACAGGTCGTGACAGCAGCAGCAGCAGCAGCCTTGAGCGAGGCGAGCTATCAACTATCTCGAAAAGGCTGCTCAACACACACACCTCTGACCACGGGCCAACACCTGTCCGGCAACTTCCTAGAGCCGCTAGAGGTCCCAGAGACTGCCAAACCCCAGTGAACAGAGACTGGCCTCGTGGTCAGATATCGCGCCGACCAGATACAGATCCTGGGCCGTGCTGTCGAGGTGGGACATGGAATTCCGGAAAGTCATTGGCGACCCGCCGAGCTCGGATTGGACGAGACTTTGGGACAGGCTGGGGGACCACGGGGTCCCCGAATGCGTCCCGTTGGACATGGTCCCGTAGTCGACGAGTCGGTAGAGGAGCTCCAGATCCTGTTGCGTCAGTGGGACGTGGTAGCACGACGGGTCGATGAGATCCCGGTACAAGCTCGCCTTGGGGCCAAAGGCATCGAGTTCATTCGCCATCGAGGTGGAATTGTGCCACATCAGCGCGTGGCTCTTGAGAAAAGCCACGTTTTGTCGACTCATCAGGAATGCAGCCAAGCGGTCAGGTTCCGAGTCCGAATGCGAGTGTAGGAAGTTAATGGATCCTGCCACCAGGGCGCAGTACCCGAGGAAGGAGGCGATGGTGCTGTACCCAGCCTCCCGAGCTTTCTGAAGGGTTTCGGTCAAGATTTTGGCGTGCTTGAAGGAGGCGCCGACGCTGGCGGCGAAGAAACTGGTCCGGAATTTGGCGTTGCTCAGCTCAAACCGTCGCCGGAGCAGAAATGGGTGGTGCAGCAGGCACTGACACAAGTGATAGAGCGCGTAGGAGAAGATCAATGGGGCCACCGAATGGAGCTCTCTTGCATTCGCACTGGGGTGCATGGCAGAGTAGTCCGCCAGAACTTCCTGGATCGGTCGATCATATTCAAGTTGGACTTCCAGCGACGACAGTCGGGCTCGGATGGCCGAAAAGTCAGACTGAGGTGCCCACGGCGGCTTCTGATCGTCCTGGTCATACCCTTGCACAATGTAGACGGATGTCCGATGCAGCTCGGCGGCGAGCACGATCACACGTCCCAAGGGCGAGAGGCTGGATGCTGAGACTTCGCTGGTGGCGCCTTGGCTGCTGACTTGGGCCAATGTCAGCGTCGTCTGAGGGATGGACGAGATGAAGTCCTCCTCATGGCACGGAAGCTGGAGCTGACAGGAGTAATCCTGTAGGCTGGCCGGTCTTCCACGCGAACAAGTGGCGAGTCTGTCGAGTAGGTAGACTGACCAATACGTTCGCCGCAGCTCCTCCTGTGCGGCGAACGGCAGGGAAGGGTGTGGCTCGAACATCATGCCGAGGACCTGAGCGACCCTAGCGGCCAGGCCGATTTTGATCCAGGCTGATCCGCGACAAGCTACGCCAGTTAGTTCGGTCGCATTCAGTGGCTGACCCGCGAACGGGCGACGACGACCAAGGCAAAGGAAGGGGAAGCAGGTGTGTAGTTCGACTTACCGGTAAAGTCGCAGATGGAAAGGAGGGTGAGAGCCTGAACGTGTCGGTAGTCGGCGAGGTCGTCGTCCAAACATTGCGAGGCGATCAATCTCCAGCAAGCGCGGGCGTAGGACTGTGAGGCGCGGACTTGTTGACCAGCAAAGAAGGGATGATGGACGAAGCGGACCGACATTGCCAGGACGGCGAGCAGGAGGAAGGTGGGCAACGAGCCATCAGAAACACTTTGCCGAAAGGATGGTTCGTGGAAGAACGAGTATGGCTGATTGTGTGAATAGTTGAAGTAGCTGTCAATGGCGGCCCAAACGACCTCTGGTGATGGCAAGGTGTCAAAGACACTGCTTGGGGGGAAAGCGATGAGTTGGATAAGCAAGGCAGTTTGTCCATGGGAGGGAGATGTTTTGCTCACTCGGTTGTCTCTGAGTCGACAGGACTAGCCCCATATCTCCTGTATATGACCTTATGATTAGCCCCCCGTGACGACTAGGCTCAACCATGGTCAAGGCAGTGGTGGGCCGGGTGTGTGTTCCTTACTCATTTCCGCCAGGAGCAGCTTTGGCCAGGCGAGACTCAATTGAAGTGATCCGGGAGAGGAGAGTCTCCTAGAGGGACCGTCAGCGAGAGCACCACTCTGTTGTTTACTTGCTATCACTCACATATCCAGGGCTAGCTATCTTGGAAGGAGTCTCGGCCGCCGTCTGGTCATCATCCCAGAGAGGCCTGCATCGAAAGGTGTGCGGGTACTGACACGTTTGACCCAGACGGGTGCAGAAACTGCAGGCTGGTTGTTCCCCATTGCAGCGGACCTTTTTGCGTCTTGATTTGGGTAATTTTCAGTCAAAGAGCTCGCTTTTTTCTTGGTGGCGACTTGGGGAGACAAATGTGGCACGCCACGGCCTTCTGTCGGCTGGGTCGCTGGGCTGCTGGACTTACCGGCAGTTCAGGCAGGCTCGTTTGATGCGTTTAGTGGGACGGAAGTCAGTGTCGTTCAAGTCCATTCTTTGTCAGGCTTCGAGCCAGTTCGGGCGGTTCAGCGCGTAATGTGTGTCAAGGAAGGTGGGTTGAAAGCCGGGAGTGGAAAGAGATAAAGGACAAGGCGGGGACGGGAGCCACGGGGGCGGGAATCGTGGATCTGGGGAGCCAACCTGACCCCGTACGGAGTATGTATGTACATGGTAAGAAGAAGCGAGAAGCAGGGACCAGGTCAGTCGGGAGGAAGTCGAGATCAATGATTATCACGAGAGGAGGTGTTGCACAGATCATGAACAAACACAAAATGTGACGTGCATAGACGGGCTGACCTGTACCGAGTAGGGAGTAGGCGGGCACGAAGGCGCGCAGGTAGGGTATTCAGCCAGCAGGAGCCCGCCTCGCTTGCCTAAAAGGGTCTTGGACTGAGAGCCTGGACAACAGATAGGCACGGCAGGCCACCTGGAAGGCTTAGGAGTGACCTTTACGTTCCCTCGCCCTTGCCAATTCTTCCAGGGGCACCAAGGGGACTTTACCACAACTAAGCACTCCAACCAAGCACTCAGCTAAGCATTCCTCTCCCCAACTCTCCCCCTTCAACGCGGATGATGGCTACACGCTCGCTCTGATGATATGCATCCCCCCCTCTTCCGTGCTCCATGCTGAATGACCCTGGACCAAGAGATCTACCTGGATGAGATGATAGTTTGTATCCTCTGGTAACGTACAGGTCGGGATATAGTATGGTATTTTGTAGGTAACTGTGTAAACGAGTTGTCCGTAAAGCCATGCACATGTTTATGGCGAGTAAAAAAACTGACAACTGAAAGCCTCGGCGCAAAAGTCCCTGACTGTGCGCCAAGGCCGTCCCCACCCATGCCTTCACTCTCTCTACTGTACGAGGTACAGGTGCAAGTACCCCGTCTGGGTGCCCGTTGCCACAGCGTGGAGTGATCTGGCTGTCTGGTATGCTCTGGCCAAGAGCTACAGAACTACAGAACAACGCCGTAGAGTGACGAATTTCCTTCTGTCTAGAATCATAGTTTCCTTCGTAGTCAATTTACTTCATCAATGATCGAGTCTCTCTTGATTTATCCGCTTTATGTATAGTTCTGCATACGATATATCCCTCTCAGTTTCCAGTCTCAAGAACTTCGTCTCCCACTGCTGCTACATCAACCAAGTAAACCACCACAGGTAAGCAAGGAGTAGATCTCAACTTCGAGCAAACGACCCAATTCCCAAGGTCCAGTGTCCACGTCGTCGACGCAAAACTCCCAACCTCTCATTGTGATGCCCTCTCTCTCTCCCTCTTACACCTTATCAATGTCGACGGCGACGACAGTGTTGTCCTCGGTGATGGCCAAGGTGCGAGACTGGGTGGAGTACTTGACGGGATTCTTGGCTTCGAAGATCTTGTCCAGTTCCTCGAGCTGTAGACAGGTCACAAATGTGATTAGCATTCCATATTTTTCCAAGGTATCAAGCACAGCGCACGGGGAAGAAAAAAAAAAAAGGGGGGGGGGGGGGGGGAGCATAAGAGCGAATGGGGCATGTGTCTCGACTCACAGTGCGCTTCTTCGTCTCAGGGAAGAAGAAATAGGCCAGCACACCCTGGACAAAGGTCCAAACCACAAAAATGATGTACGTCTTCCACTGGATCTCCTTGATCGCCACGGGCCAGGCGAATTGGTTGATCAGACCGGCGGCGTTGACGAAGAAGGATTGGAAGGCCATACCCTTGGCGCGGATCTCAAAGCTGAAGACCTCGACCGGGTACAGGGCCTGCAAGGGTGTGATGTTGAACGAGTACCACGCGCCGAAGATGAAGATGAAGGCCAGCACGGCGTTGCCGGCCGTCTTGTTGCTAAAGACGGCGTCGCTGTCGTCCACAGAGCCCGAGACGAGCGAGTTGGCCAGCGTCCCGGCCGAGGCGGTCATGCAAACCCAGATCACAGACACGCCAAAGAACCCGGCCAGCATCATCTTGCGGCGGCCGAATCGCTCGACGAAATGCGCGCCGAAGACGGCGAAGCAGAACTGCTCGACGCTGTAGCCGAGCTGGACGTTGGCTTTACCGATCGAGGTGTTGACGCCGGCCGTGTCGAGGACGGCGGACATGAAGTACGAAAGAGGACCGTTACCGCACCCTATTTTGAAGACACGCGTCAGTGGACCAGCGAAGGTAGACGGAGGCGAGTGTTCTTACATTGTGTGAATGCAGAGAACCAGCAAGCGACCGCGGTGCGGTAGAGGCTCGACTTCTTGTTGAAAAGCGCACGGTAGTCCCACCAGCGTTTGTCCTTGGAACGTCAATCCGTCAGCTTTGCTGCAAGACCTGAGAGCCGAGATGAAGGGAAAAAAAGACTTACGGAGCCGTCCAACTCGAGATACTCTTCATACTCATTGAGCTGGAGTCTGACCCAGGCGGAATCGGGATTGCCATAGCCGTGCCACTTGGTGAGGATGTCGTGGGCCTTCTGGCGCTTTCCACTGGCATACACCCACCTGGGAGACTCGGGCAGGAAGAAGGCGAAAATGGCAATGAAGCCTGGGAAGACCATCTGCAGCCAGATGGGGATGAGCCAAGAGTTGTTGCCTTTGATGTTGAGACCACCTCGCGTCGCGCCAGAGGACAAGATCGAGCCAGCCAGCCAGGTGGTGTTACAGAGACCAGTAATGATCCCACGATACTTGGGATGGGCCGTTTCCACGATCCAAATGGGGCCGGCTGCCGCGGCGATGGTGACGCCAAAACCCAGGACGAATCGACCGCCCATCATCTGACCCTCGGAGGCATTGGCAGAGGTCAAGCCCTGCACAACGGTGCCGACGATGATGAGAATGCTACCAATAAACATGCCCACGCGGCGTCCCCACTGATCAATGCAGGGCCCGACAAAAGGCAAGGCAGAGACACCACCGATCTGGTACATGGAGGTGATAAGACCTGCCCAGATACCCTTGTTCTCCCCATGGAAGTGCTTGAGGAAGTATTCCTTGTTGTTGAGCAGTCCACCGAACAACATCGTGTCGTAGCCGTTCATCGTCTGGCAGAAGAAGCCAATGAGTAGGCAGGCGAATAGCTGCAGAGTGCGCGGGTGCAACATTGGCACATCTTCCCGGATCAAAGCCTCATTGAAGGCCTCACTGCCTCTGACTTCCTTGACCGCGACGACCTGCGACACAAGGTAGATGGTTAGTCTTTCGTTCTATAATGGGCAATAGGAGGACACGGTATGTTCGGTGAGTATGGAGGCTCACATCTTTGCTCTTGTCGATTGAGCCAATGCGCTCCACGGTCTGCGCCGTAGGATCAGAGATCTTCTCTGGAGAAGCCATCCTGTAAGTCTGGAAAATCCTGAAAGGAAGATTGTCAAAGAAAGTGATTGTGTCTCTAGAGTGAGAGTTGTGATGGTGAGACGAAGTGGACGGGGAGATGAAGGGTTATTTAATCTCTATATCCACCAAGACATGTTACCATATTGCAGCGGAGCTTCACAGTCCACCGTTCCTAGCCTGGTGTGGTTGATGGTGTATGCGGGATGGTCAGACCATCAGGTCGTATCGAACCTGGGCACCTGGGGTAGGAAGAAAAGCCTCCCGACATGAAGCCGATGAAGGAGGGGAAATCTAAGAGGCCCGATTGATTGCCACCACGATGCTAAAAGGGGAGACGCTCGTGCCCAAGACTCCTAGCCGCCTTGAATCCGGGGGGGCGTTAGGTTTCCTCGAATTTGCTTGCGGAGTATCCAGACGGGGGTCCCAGAATTCGAAGGGTGTTCGGAACTTTGATGCAGGTCACTTGGACCAACTGGTCGCTGATTAAATCGTCGGTTAGAGCCTCCAATCCGATTCTTTGCATACCGATAGCCTGATAGCTAGAGCTAGGAGCTTCTGTCTGGTTTACCAGTGTTGCAAAGCGAGATGGGTTCAGCGGGCCGAGGACGAACCTTCAGAGCCTCGCATTCGCCAGATTGTAGTTGGCTTGTCCGGGCGAATAACACCAGGAGTTTCGCGCCCGAGGATCAAGCGGGCAGGTCATGGGCCTCTCTCGCTTCCTGACCTGGCGGAGTTGGCGATCTTGGCTGTCCACGGCCATTCGTCAGGGTTGCATTGAAGGTGAGACGAATGTCAGTCTAGAAGGCTGACCCTTTGTTCCTCCAGGCTCTAGCGGCGCCATGGTCGAAGGAAGTTTATCCCTCGAACCTTCATCATCTTCAGTCGACACTCTTCGCTTTGTCATTGGCGTGAGATTAGGACGGACTACCAAGAAGCGAACGAGTGCCATCGCGTTGTGCTGCCGAATATTAAGCGGTAGAGCAAAACTGCCAACTTGTTCCCGTGGAATTCATGGGGCGAACACGAACGGTGCTGTCGCCAAGTTCTTGCTTGTGGCGTTGTTGATTATAGCATGGAAGCTCTTGGGGCTTTTCCGTGTTTTCCTCTTTTGTCCACGGTCATGCCCACGGTCGACGCCAGAGCTTGTCATGAATCACCCTCTCCTCTGACCTGCTGCTGCAAGGTTGAACTTCGGGCCACTCCTTGCTGGTCTCATTACCGAGTACAGAGACGGAGAACGGAACACTCCTTGGCCTACCTGCTGCTTATAGAAACCTTTGGTCTCTGTACCGTGGATACAGAACCCCAGCTCCAAGTCTGCTGAGCACTGAAAATTGCAAGTCCTCGAAATTACAACTTGGCACTGGCTGATCCTCGGAATCCAAGCTGCATGGCTTGTTAAGATTGGAGTCTTGTACTTCAGCCTTGCGTGGTGGTGAGGTCTGTCTGTAACCTCCTCTTCTACTGGCTGGTCACGCCTGTCTC